AGCCTTAGCACGCCTACAACTTAACCTTTGCATACCTACAACTTAACCTTAGCATACTTACAACTTAACCTTAGCATACCTACAACTTAGCATGCCTACAACTTAGCCTTAGCACGCCTACAACTTAACCTTTGCATACCTACAACTTAACCTTAGCATACTTACAACTTAACCTTAGCATACCTACAACTTAGCATGCCTACAACTTAGCCTTAGCACACCTGCAACTTAGCTTTAGCACGCCTACAACTTAACCTTTGCATACCTACAACTTAACCTTAGCATACCTACAACTTAGCATGCCTACAACTTAGCCTTAGCATGCCTACAACTTAGCCTTAGCATGCCTACAACTTAGCCTTAGCACACCTAAAACTTAGCTTTAGCACGCCTGCAACTTAACCTTTGCATGCCTACAACTTAGCCTTAGCATACCTACAACTTAGCATGCCTACAATTTAGCCTTAGCATACCTACAAATTAGCCTTAGCATGCTTACAACTTAACCTTAGTATACCTACAACTTAGCCTTAGCATGCCTTAGCCTTAACATGCCTACAACTCAACTTTAGTACGCCTACAACTTAGCCTTAGCATTCTTTCAACTTAGCCTTAGCACGCCTACAAGCTAACACTAGCTTAAAGGTCTTCTAATGTTAGCTTGTAAACGTGCTAACCATAACTCAAAGGTCTTCTAGCGTTAACATGCCTAAAAGCTAACACTAGCAGACCTTCAAGCTAACAAACAGTAGCACGCCTGCAACTAACCCCATAAAATTTTGGTAAAACTTAACTTTTACCGAACAGTTTTTTTTTTTCGTTTTTTTTTTTTGGGTGGGGGGGTGTCTTTTCGGAAACTGGTTGGTGATTTTAAAAGGTTTGTGGACTGCTGCTTCATATCCCTGCTTCATATTTGAAAGACCGGTGACCGTGTTTATCTCAGTTTAAAACTTTATCTATACATAAAAGATGACATCTTATCTCGTTTGAGGAAATACCAAATTGACCTTCCCCCAGTTCTTCTGGAACCAGTCCTCTTTTTTTATTTACTGCCGTTTGTCAAACACCAAACTGTTTGATGTGTTTTGACATTTTGGCCAAAATCCTTCAAATAAGCTGCATTAAACTTCTTTTGCAGGAAAGAAAAAACAAAGTTTTGACATTAAAAGACTCCATCAGACTGTCTGTCTGTCGCAGCTAGAACTGATCATCTGAAAGCCTTTCAGAGGAGCTCCTGAAACAAACAGAAAAGACTGACTAAATAAATAAATAAATAAAAGATTTATTAGAAGTTTCTGATTTTTTTCTTGAGCAGATCTCCAGCTTTCAAACAAAAACCAGCAGGAGGGATTTTCTGACAGAACTACTGAAATAAATCAAAATCTGTCTTGTTTTGTGGCGATGGCAGTAATTTTGTTTTGATGCGTTCTTGCACACAAAGCTAGATGTAGTTTGTCGATTATTTTCTACTATGGGATAAATCTGGTGCCAGCAGGAATTGRATTTGAATTTCTGAATTTGAAATTGAATGCATTGGTTTGAAATTGAATTTTACTAAATTTAAACTGAATTGAATGATTTGAAACTGAATTTAAAGTTTTGAATTTGAATTAATTAGCTTTGAAACTGTATTTTGGTTTATTAAAAATTCAGTTTGTCTACTTTCACTTTCACTTCCATAATTCAGATTTTTGTGCCACACATCCTGGTCCTTGAGAAAGCCAGCCAGAGTAATCAAAAAGAAAAAAATTGTATAGGTCCTCTGGACGGGTTCTTTAATGAAACATTTCGTCTCTCCTCCAAGAGACTTCTTCAGTCTGAG